GCTAAACATGAGATGGCAGGAGTGGTAGCCAAAAAGGCTACTAGAGGTTTTGGTTACCTCTCACGATTGGGTCATACAATGGCCCTGCATTTGTGAGTTCAGTCTCACAGGCATTGGCCAAGGCCGTGGGCACTAATTGGAAACTACATTGTGCCTACCGGCCCCAGAGTTCCGGGCAAGGAGAGAGAATGAACTGGACTCTTAAAGGGACCTTGACAAAGCTAATTCTGGAGACTGGCGGTGGATGGGTGGTTCTCCTTCCTTTTGCCCTCCTCAGGGCAAGATGTACATCCTGCTTAAACAAGTCATTGCAGGCATTGCAGTCCATCTTGGAAGGAGCCTTCACGGGGATCTGAACTGCCCACACCGGGATGGAGATGGAGGTGGAACCACATCCCTACCAACCTGGGGACTTGGTTTGGATACGCTACCACCAAGTGGGAAACTTGGAGCCTTGTTGGAAGGGACCATTTATTGTCATCCTGACCACCCCCACGGCAATAAAGTTGAGGGCATTGGGGCCTGGATTTGCACAGGTCACATCAAAAGAGCCAAGGATGAGGACGCCCCCTAGAGATGGATGCTGCTGCCGATGGACCCCACTGATCGTGGACTAAAGCTAAGACTCAAAAACAAAAAACAAAAAACAAAAAACCAATGAGTTCATTAAGTTCATTGTTGCTCCTGATGTTAAAGTATAGGTGGGAAATATAGACAATTAGGGCTTGACATAGTATTTCTAGAAAAAGGGGGGGCTCTGTGTAGCCCTAGGAGAGAAATGCTGTTTCTGGGTAAATCACACTGGAGTCATTAAAAACAGGCTGGCAGCCATGAAAAGAGACTAGAAGAGTCAAGGATTTGATTAATCTCCAAAGAAAAGGGGGGGAATGTAAGGTCCTATTTAGCCAGAGGGGCCCCACTTTGGTTGAGCAGCCATTTTGTTGTTTATGCAGTAAAACTTAAATTGACCCTGCCCCTCCCAGGGGAATTTACTTAAAAGCAAGTCCAGGAAACCAGTCCCAAATAACTACACTCAAATACAAGGGTGGGTCAGGTCAGGTAGAGATAACAGCCCGAATGCAGGGATGAGTTGGGTCAGGTGGAGACATCCAATCAGTAGAGCGGGCATACTGTCTCCCTAGCTACCAAGGAGTGTGGGCCCCGCCTTTTGGGCGCCAATTCTGACCAAGGTGATAGGCTAGTTCACATAGCTACTATAGGTGAATTGTAATTCAATTGGCCACCCCTGTGTGACCTAGCATGACTGTGCAGCTTTCTCTGTGTGTTGCAATCTCATTGGCCACCTGTGTGTGGCCAGGCTCAACCGCATGGCCTTTGCTCTATAAAAGTTAGTCTGTGAGGCAGGGAGGGATCGCCCTCTCTGTAAAGGGTGGCCCCGACCCGTTTGTTTGACGTTCCGCTTGGTTCTTGATGCTTGGCACAAAATAAAGCTTTGCTTGATCTTCGCTTTGTATCAGTCTCACTCCTTTGACCATGGACCCATTATTGGGGGACCCAACAATATTGAGGAAGCATTTATCTGCTTCAAGTCTTTCTCTTGGCCTCCTAGTCTTTATGTCTTCATTCCTTTGGTTGTTAGGTCTCACAAATGGCACTGGAAAGGATTAAAGGGGATACAGGCACAGCCTCCAAGAAATACCAAACCCAGAAATATAACATTGAATCATCATTTTCCAGATTGCAGGCACATACTGAGAAAGGTTCAATTTAAACAGGAGGGGGGAGAAACACAAAAAAACAAACAAACCAAAAAAAAACAGGAGGCCAGGGATTGGCAAAAGTTTACAAGAAAGGGTCTGATAGTAAATATTTTAGGCTCTGTGGGCATTATGGTTTCTTTGTAGTGACTCAGCTGCTGTCCCAGTAGGGAAGTAGTCCCAGACAATAACAAACAAATGAGTAGAGTTATGTTCCAATAAAACTTTATTTGCAAAGGCAGTCGGTGGGCCAGATTCAACCCAGGGGCCTTAGTTTGCAGAACCCCACACTAGAATCTATAGAAGACAGAAGCCATCAAAACTGGCTTCACGGGTCTTCTGAACTTTGATAGGGGCTCCATTCTATCTCCTTCAGAAAGGACAAAAATCCACTGTTTTGGGTGTGGCATCAGCTTTCTTCTGATTATTTTGATTTGTTTTGTTTTGCTGTGCTTTGGTATTTTGATGTTCCTCTGAATGAGTTTTCTCGATCCCTCCTTTTTGTCTTTATTTCTCTCTTTCTGTGAATATCTCTAAATGCTTCCCATTCTTCATTTGTCCTTTTGCACCCACAGGGTTTGGAGATTGTAGAATGAGACTCTTTCACATCCATCCTTGCTAAAAATCCTGGCTTCTTTTCAGGTTCCTCATCTGTATGGGAGTACAGAGGCAATGTACAGCCAAGAACACTCATCTGGATCACTGGGTTGGATGTACCACCACCTTGCTGTGTGACTTTGAGCCAATCACCTAACCTCTCAGAGACTCCCTTTCCTCATCTGTCAAATGAGAGAGTTGGCTAACTGATCTAGCTACAGCCTCAACCTGAGGCAACTGTCTGAGGCAATTAATGACAATGTCACTCATAGACCTTAATGAAACCCACTGGAGGTCACAGAAATTAACCACATGATCTCTGGTACTTGACAACCTTCCTAAGGCTTATGCAACTGAGGGGGTGGGCATACTAGCTAAACTGAGAGAATCTGAGAGCCCAGCCCAGAGACAAATGACTCCAGGACACCTATGCTCCAGGAAAATTAATTTGCATTCCTAACCTTCCATTAAAGTAGCTACAAAATGGCCAAAAATATTGACTCAGTTGGAAACAGGACTCTAGAGAGCTACTGTTGGAGGTGGGAGGCTTTCTCTTCTCCACTAGACCCTCCTGTGTTGTGTGGAGCTCTTCCAGCCAGATAAAGGACAGCCCTCAAAACCCACCAAATAAATGGATGAGTAGGTCATGAGGAAATGGAGGCAAATTTCAGTGCCAGAGGAAAGAGGCTTTCTCTGCAAGCACAGAGGAGGGACCTCAGGGAGGATCAGGGAACCAGGATTCTGGCTGAGGCAGGGGTTGGTGGTGGTGGTTAGCTGAGGTAGGGGCTGTGGGTGAAATTTATACAGCATCATCCTCACTCTCTCGGGCTCCCCCAGCTCCTACCCCAGCAGCCTGTGGATGAAGCAAATGGGCAAGGGGCTGTCCCCCAGCCCCCAATTTTCCTGTACACAGTCTCAAGGGATGGGGAGGGAGTAGAGAAGCCCACATCCTGGCTTTCAGAAGAGCAGGCCTTTATTGTGTGACTCTGCTAAAGCTGCCTCATTTGTAGTCTAAATAATTTAGTCACCAATCTCTCAAGGAGCATTAGAAGGAAAACAAAACCCAACTCAGCCCCTCCACTTCACCGAAGGCAGGCCAGGAGGCTGGGAGGCAGCCCCAAGCTGCATAGAAGGCCTCCCTTCAAAGGTTCACAAGGACTGGCAACCTTCCAAAAACGGCCTGGGGTCTGGTTTTGTACAGCCCTTGAGCTAAGAATGGTTGTTACGTTTTTAAAAAGGCTTTTTTATTTTATTTATTTTTATTTATTTATTTATTTTTTTTTAATTTATTTGACAGACAGAGATCACAAGTAGGCAGAGAGGCAGGCAGAGAGAGAGGAGGAAGCAGGCTCCCCGCTGAGCAGAGAGCCCGACGCGGGGCTCGATCCCAGGACCCTGGGATCATGACCTGAGCCGAAAGCAGAGGCTTTAACCCACTGAGCCACCCAGGCGCCCCTAAAAAGGCTTTTTTAAAAGACAAAACACACAACAACAAAGAAAAACATGTCAGAGACTGTATATGGCTTGTAAAGCTTAAAATAATTGCTATCTGGTCCTTCCCAGAAAGTGTGCTAACCCCCTAGCCCATTCCCCAGCCTTAAAGGAAGAGCTGACACCCTCAGACCTACTCCTTGACGACCCCACTCCCTGACCCCACCATGTGCAGAGATTCAACGTCAGAGAGTTCTGATATTTACAGACGAGTGAGAAGCTGGCATCATTTTCCACCCCATTGCCCAAGCCAGAACGAAACAAAAACAAGAAGAAACACCCTTGAGTGGAGTGAACGATCTTGGTTCTACTGCTACGGGAAGGAGAGGAAGCAGCAATGATGGGCTAAGGTTCAGCCTCAGCTCATCATCCGGGGGTCAGAGGTCAGCATCATCCTGGTTGGTCTCTGCTGACAACCTTCCCTTCAAGCTCCATGCCCTCGACACACACCCTGAGATCCTGGTGATCCCAGCGGATCCCAGCTGATCCTAGAGGTAACTTGTACTGATGAGATACCCAACTAGCCCCTGTCTCTGAGTCCCTAAAGCCTATGTCAGTCTGACTCTGCCAACCCTCAATCCTGGACAGAGGCTCCATCCAGCCCTGCAAGGGCTCCCCTATGGCCCAGCACGGCCTTTGAAGGAAGGGGACTGTGACCAGTCCTGGACTCCACCCAGAGCCTCTCCTGGAGGCAGAGCCTCTGAGAATTCCATACAGGCTAAGTCCTCGGGAAGAGATGTGTCAGACTAGACACAATGGGGCTGCTGGCTCAGAGTGCCCGGATGTAACTGGGCTGAGCAATCTCTGGCTATCACGGGGCCCGGTAGTAATTTTGGGGGCTGAGGGCCCAGTGGAGATCCAGTGGTCCCACATGCTGGCATGTAAGTATTCTGGACTACTTCAGGTAACAGGGACCTGTTCTAGAGTCTCCCAAGAAAAATGTTGCTGCTATCCTGCCAGTCCCCTGAAGGCTTCTCTTCTTAAGATACAAACAACATGGAAGGCCCAGGTTGAATCCCATATCTGGGTTAAGCAAAAAGCCTTAGAGATTTGGAAGCCCAAACTGGGAGATCTGGGGCAGGTCCTCTTTCCATTTTGGGACTCAGCTTCCTCATCTGTTAAAATAAGCAAACAAACAAAAACTTGAAGTCTTTGCATGGGAGTGATTTTAAGGGCCTGATTGTCCCATTCCCAATGAACAGCCAAAACCAGGCCACAACTCTGCAGAGCTTTGCTGGAAAGTTGTCTGGCTTCATGTCAGCTTTCACTCCCCAAGTCAACCCAGTCCCATGCAAATGAGGTACAGCTGGTCTCTCATGGGGGGAAATGTTTTCCTTGGGCATGTTGGCAGCTTGCTGGGTGTTCAGACTGACGTGAGGGAGGGACATGGCAGGTGGTGAATGTGACTTCTTGTCTTCTTGCCTTGTGCTGAGGGGTTGGCCAAAGGGCCATGGGGGTCTCACCCTCACACCCCCAACATGTCCACAGAACATGACCCATATATGGTCTACATGGTATGGTCCCATACCATGCGCTTTAACCTCAATTAGCTCAGCTGTCTTTCAACAACTCTCCAACTTGACTGGACATTCCTCAAGGGCAGGAACTGTATCTTGACCTTCTTCTGGGTCCCCCAGGAGAACCCAGCACAACACCAGGTATGTGGCCAGAGATCTGTCCTTATCTGTTGAGTAACTCAACTGAGGTGCCCCCTGGGAAGAGTGATTCTTCACTTGGCACAGGGCACGTGTCCAGATAAGTGAATCTCCACTTTTGCTGGCTGATAATACCATTCTTCAGTCCATGGCTCAGTCAAGCTGTCCTGTCCAGCAAGTGACCCAAGAGCTATCGTGTGACCTAGAGAGCAGGCGATGGAGGGAGAAAGGAATGGAGAAAGGAATGCCCAAGACTCCCCAGGAGGTGAAGGTCATATGAAGGTCATCACTGCTGTTCCCTTATCCCTAAAGCAGTGCAGACTGGGGAGCACAGTAAATCAAACACACCTCAGAGCACTTGCTTCAGACTGGTGACCCAAACTGTAGGCACAGCATCTATGGGCGACAAACGCAAAACTATAAAACAGTGACAAATGTCACAAGCCCGGTGGTGAGTCTCACTCTCTCCTGGTCTTAACCAGGCTCAGAATGGCTGTCTCCCTTGCCTGCTTGTAGCTAGAAAGCGCTACACTTTTCCTAGCTGTGATCCTTCTCTTCTGTGCTCCCCAAATATGTGGCTCTCTTCAGAGCCCCAAAGGCTGCCTTCTCTTCTGTTTATGTGTCTGCTTGTTTGCTCTCCCGGTGGTGGGAAGGGATCTGCCTTGCCTCAAGTGTCACTCATCTTTACAAATGGTGATGGCACAGCCATGCCACTGATTAGTTATGACACACATGGAATTGCTAATGAGTTTGATACAATTTTAATTACTCCTTATTCTGTGGCGGCAGGCAGTAAACCACGAAAGTAATAATCCTCTTGGGTGCCCTCAAGGTAAGATGAGAGGAAGACAGGTGTGAGCTGTAGGGAGTTAATCCTGGGGGTGGGGGTGGGGGTGGGGTCTGCGGCAGGGGTGGGCGGGCAGAGGGGCTCCCTGCACAGACTCCCCTCTGAATTATCTGGACCATTTCCTAATTCTCTACCTTGTTCTTATGGACCTGCCATTTTCTTGGAGACAAACTCACCTTAGGGAGAAGAGGAAACCAAGGCATATGGAGCATCAAGGATTGGCCCAGACACATCAGACTTCAAATCCCGAGGTCCTAACTCCGGTCCCCAGAGTGGAGACAGTCCAGAGGGACTGTCCGGGCATGTGCCCACATAACTCACGGATCTCACCTGAGGACACAGATCTCCTCGAAGCCCCCCCCCCCCAGCCCTGTCCCTCCACACCCAATTCGAAGGGGGAAGAGTAGGGAGGGATAGAGGGGCCGTCCCTGGATACCTTGGTGGTTTTGACTTTGTGTCGGCTGCTGCAGCTCCATCCTGACAGATCCGGGAGCACTCTGCACTCCTCCCCCGGCAGGCAGGGCTCCATCTGACACCACCACTTCCGCAAGACGATGGAGGCTGTGGGAGCAGGGGACAAGGAGAGGCAGGGCCAGATCTCCAAGGAGCCCTCTGGTGGGCAGGTGTGGGTGTGAGCCCAAGTGGGCACCTTTACAGCCCTGCCACGTGAGGGAGCTCAAGAGCACGGGTGGGATCCTCGGAGAGGGGTGGGTGTGAGTGACCCCTGTGTGTCCACGTCAAGGCCACAGGGGAACAAGAGGAGGGTGTGTGTACGAGGCCGATGGAGGAGCAGGAGGGGAAGAGGTCAAGGTCTGCTGCCCAGTTTGGGAGCAAAGATTTGTGAGACAGAATGTCTCATCTCCCGCCCATCAGGCAGGGAGTGCGGATAAGAGAAAGGGCCCTCAGGAACAGAACCCCTCCTTCTCTATGGAGCGGGCAGTCCCATCTGCCCTCCTCCCTGCAGAGGTTACCCATTATTTCAGACTGATCACAAAAGCCCTGGGATGGTATGAAATTGTAACCGAGCAGATGGTGCGGCCTAGACAGACCTTCTTTTTTTTTTTTTTTTTAAGATTTTATTTATTTATTTGACAGAGAGGTCACAAGCAGGCAGAGAGGCAGGCGGGGGGGTGCGGGGGGTGGGGGAGCAGGCTTCCTGCGGAGCAGAGAGCCCAATGCGGGACTCGATCCCAGGACCATGAGATCATGACCTGAGCCGAAGGCAGAGGCTTTAACCCACTGAGACACCCACGCGCCCCAGACAGACCTTCTTATCTCTGTGATTGGGCCCTCCCCAGTGGGCCGGTCTCTCACTCACCGTCCACGCAGGAGGGCTTTGCGCGGGTGGTGCCGGCCACCTGGCCGGAAAAGCAGGAGCACTTGACCGTCTGGGAGCGCTCCTCGATGCGGTTCCGGTTGCAGCAGCGATGAGTGGCAATCACCTCGCAGGCGCCCTGCTTCACCAGGACTGAAGTGGTGGAGGAGATCAGGGCCCAGCCCACTCAGGAAGCCCAGCTCTCCTCCCACCTGCCCTGCTTTTTCTCGGGCCCTCTTCCCAGCCGAGGGGAGGGGTGTTCAAAGGGTGGCCTGCTGCAGGGCAGGAGGAGGAAACACGAAATCCTCCTGCTCCTTCAGCGGTCTCGCTCGTCTTTCCTTCCGCCCCGGTGAGGCCGCGCTCAATCCTCTTCCGCAGACTCAGGCCCTTGGGCAGAAGAAGAAAGGTGGAATTCCCCACCAGTCCTACTTCCTCCGGGCTTCTTCCCGGTGAGGGCCCAGGGGCTTAAAATGCGTGGGGAGGATCATCGGCTTACACAGGCTTTAGCCATCCCAAAAGGAATACCACAGAATTAGGCCAGGAGGTTAGACTTAAGCCTCCTCCCCACCGCCTCTCTCCCTGCAGAACATGGTCTGGCCTGGAAGGAAAGGGAGCCACAGGTCTGCCCACAACTTCTCTGGGCTGGGATGACAGAGGGGGACAGATTTTCCTGGGTGAAAAACAGAAAAGGAGCCAGAAACCCTAGAATCCACATTTTACCTGTCCTTGGCGATCTGCCGGCTCTGGAATAGGGTGGAGCAGTGCCCAGCTCTCCAGGCCTCCAGGAAAACCCTACCCCAGGCTCTGTCACCTGCCCCAAACCTGTGGGAGTTGGCGGCTGCAAGGAAGCTGAGGCAAGGAGGGTCCACAGCAAGGCCAGGGAAAGTGCCAGCAGCCAGTGGCCCGTGCTCCGGTTCTGAGAGGTCCTCTCACACATCCTGGGGAGAGAAGCACACAGCCGGCTCAACACGGAGCAGGAGCTCAGCAGGGCCCAGCCCCAGCACCATGCGCTTTGGGAGGCCCAGAGGTGGGCAGGATGCACACCTTATCCCCAGTGGCCCTCAGCCTGGCACAAGATCACTGTACAAGGCGGTGACCGTCCGAGAGGGAGACTGTCCAGTTGGGAAAACCACCACGGAGAGCTTTGTGGGGGAGAGGCCTTTTAAGAGGGCCTTGAAGGGTCTTGGAGGGCCACGGGAGGAACTATACTGCTGACTCCCATTTTTTTGAGCCCTTGACCCGGGCATGTCACATACATGCTCCTGCAGCCTTCACAACTGTCCTACAAATTGGGATTATTTGTACCTATTTGACAGATGAGCAAACTGATCCTCACAAAGCCTGGACAGAACCAAAACAACCATCAATAAAGGAATGGCTAAATACATTTGTGGGGCATCTGTACAAATGCAGTTACATCCAGGCCGCTGTAACACAGAAGGAGGAAATGCTTTATGTACTGAGGCATGTAATGATCTCTAATAAGCCACCATGAAGGCTTATTGTGCACCACAATAAGTGTACCACAAAGTGCAGGATGGGGTGTAGAAAATGCCTTAAAGGGAGGGATTTTATATATGTTGCTTAAATATGTATAAGCTAGCTCTGGAAAAGGTACCAAAGAAAACCTAGTAATATTGAGTGTCACCAAGAGGGGGAACTGGTTCACTGAGAGATGGAGGTAGAAGGGAGACTTAATCTTTTTCCCTGTTGCTTTTTTACTGGGCGATGGGGGTGGGGTGTTAAACTGTAAGAACGTAAGCAATTCTTTTTCAACAATTTTAAATTTAGAAAAGAAGAAATGACACCAGGGCTAATGGAAGTCAAATGATTGCCCCAGGCCAGGCAGCACATGGGGGTGCCCGAGCCCAGAGCCCAGAAGCCTGGCCTATTCCTACCGCACCACTTGAGCTTCTCTTCCTCTAACCTTGATGGGTCAGGCCTCCCATCTATCCCAGAGGACGAGCTAGAGACAGAGGGGATCCCAAGGACACAGAGGCAGAGAGCAGCAGGGGGCTGCCCAGGCATAACAGGAGTCTGCCCCCTCCTCCACTGCACTGATGTCCTGCCCCCCTGGGACATCGCTGGAGTCCCTCAGGTGTCAGCACTGCCCTGGGATCACCAGAGGCCAAACCAAATGCTGGGACTGTGGATTGGGTTCTTGATCTCTGTCCGCACCACCATCCCCTCAACTGTCCCCTCTTCGGTGTCTCCTCACTCACTTTTTGGGGGATCTTTCAGCTTCTGTCTGTTCATCCACGGGCCTCAGACTTACTCCACCTAGGCAAGTAGGAAAGATCCTCGGGGGTGGTGTGGGCAGGAACAGAGGGAGCCTGTGGCCCTATAGGAGGTGAGGGAGCACCTGGGTGAGGACAAAAGGCGCCCTGGAGTAGAGCCCATTTCTGAAGCTGTTCCTCAAGGAGCAGGGCGGGGGGCAGAGGCTCTCCTCTGCCTTGCAGACTCTGGGAATACACAGGGCAGCTAGCCTGAGAAGAGTAGCCTGAGGATTTCTCTGGCCCAGGAGTGAAGCAGGGCAGACAGTGGGGAGGTGTCTAGGAATCAAGGCTATCACGGCTCTGGCCTTGGGAGGGAGCTGAAGGCCAGGGACGGATTTCTGAGCAGGATCTGACAAAATGTTGCTCCAAGAGGCTCCGGGAAAAGACCCCTACGTCTTGAATCCTTTTGCCTCCACCTCCTAGCTCCACTGCACCTGCGTCCTGGACTTGAGCGGAGCTGGCTCCATTCTGCCCCCGTCACTCCCATTTCCATTCTGGAGGGCTAGAATGGGGTGCCTCCGAGTCTCAGGGACCCCAGCCCGACAGCCTCTGCATTCTTCTGGAAGACCTCTCCTCCTTCAGCCTCCAAGGGGAGGTGGAGCTGAAGCAGGTAGGATGGTGGGGCTGAGAGGACTATGGGGACAGATGGAAGAAGTGGTGCCAGTACCCCAGAGATAGGTGTGTTCCACGGGTAAATGCTTCCCAGCCTTCTCAATGTATCTCTTTTCTGAGTGGGTATCTCCTCTCCCTGTCCCCTTCAGGAACCTTCATTTTGATCATTTCAAATACAGCTTTGTCTTCTCTCTCAGGCAGTCCTCATCCCTTTTTCCTTGAGCTGCCACACCATCCAACCCAGCTCTCCTCTGAACCCAAAGACCCTAAAGATGGGGGGGTGTGCTTTTGGGCTGAGCTCTCGGGCATTCTATTCCCTCCCTCGGGAGAAGGGGGAAAAGAAGCTTCTAGGGTTTGTTCTGGGCTTCCACACTCCTGCCTCAGTTTCCCAGACTGTTTTCCCCAAACCCGGATGCAAGGTATGGGGAGGCTGAATTAGCAGCCAGCATACCAGCATACCACCAGGAGAAGCTTTAAGTTTCCCTGTCTTCTCCCGGCCCCCTCCAGCGCCCACTCACTGCTCCAAATTCTGAGCCCCAGGATCCACCCGTCCCACGGCGGTGCCCACTTGCCTCTGAGTCCGGCACCAAGACTCCGAAAGGCGGACTTCAAGCGGGAGCGGCCGGCGCGAGTGCTGTCGAGTCTGGAGCCTCGTGTCCCTCACCAAGTTGCTGCCGCGTCCCCAAGGCGGCGGAGCTTTGGCCAAACTGGCATCACGGTCATGCCCGGCCCTGCTCCGCGCACGGAGACCTCCTGGCCCACCCCGCCAGCTCTTCGAGGCCAGCCGCGGTGTTTTGGAGGCTCCCGCCGGCAGGCCAGAGAGCGTGCAGCCGCCGCCTCCTCTGTCGCTGGGGACCGTCCCCGCTCCGCCAGCCCGGCGCGGGCACCACAGCCTCCTCCAGGACAGCTCCCCGCGCCGCACAGAGCGCTCGGCGGGGCGGGCTGGCCCAGACGGGCGCAGTGGCCCCTGGCGGCCGAGGCGAGAAGAGCGAAGAGAGGCCCTCCGGTCCCGCGGCGCTGTCTGCAGTCCCGGTGAACACCTCCCTGGGGCAGGCCGGGATAACCCAAAGAGGTCCATCAAAACCCTCCGTCTTGTGGCTTTAGGGGAGGGAGGGGGCTGTGTGTGAGGAGGGACTGCCAGGACCCCCAAGGGTTTTGACTCCTGAAGATTCTAAAATTGCACTGTCCAGTAGGATAGCCACTGATTCTATGTGATTATGTAAGTTTAAACATAAATTAGATAAAATCCAAAAATTGTTTCTTATTTGCACTGGGCTCAATAGTCACATGTAGCTGGGGATTACTGTATTGAAAAGATACAGAACATTCCCATCATTGCACAAAATTCTATTAGATAATACATTTCTAGATTGATATGTTAGCCCTTCACTGTGAAAATGTTAAAATCCAGGAGGGAAGAGCAAATGCTCTCTACCCTAGGAGTGGTGTCTTCAGGGACAGGAAGGACTAGAGGAGGCATGAGGGTGGAGGCTAAGCAGGCAGGAGGGCTGCAATAGACTGATGATGGGTCCTTATAGATGATGGCTATGAACCCCAACTTGAGAACCAAACTTGAGACCCCAAATCCTCATTATATGAGTTGCAATATAATTGCAATTTTGTAAATCTTTACAGGGTAAGAATCTGGATGTGGAAGCATTAGACAAATGGGAGAGAGAGGTGGTCTGTGAATTTGTCTCAGCAGGAGGGACACTCCTCATAGTTTAAGAAGGCTTTGTGATTGGAGTAATGGGGTGGGTAGAGGTAAGGGGGCCTACTTCTGAGCTCTGAGCCAATGCACGTGGCTTAGGATAAAGGGGCCTGTCTTGAGGATGCCCGGTCCCCCTTACTGGCCAAGGCCACACATACCCCTGGCAGGGCCAGGCACTAAACAGTCTCAGTTCTCAGAGAAGAGTATCTCCAAGTCTGACTCTCTACCCGTCCCCTTTCCTCTTCCCCTTTCTGCTGCCTCCGGGACTAGTAGAAATGATGACTTTCTTACCAGGTTCTGGGGCAGTCTGAGGATGGAGAAAGTGTGATGGTGTCAGGAATCAGAGGTAAGATGTTCAGAGAGAGGAGAGTCTTAGGATTTAGGTAGGGGGATGTGGTTCTGGAGCCCAAGAGTGCTGTTGACATCCCCACTACCCATCTGCTGCTGGAGCTAGGGATCTTTCTGTCCTGGCTCTGTGGCCTATTTGTAGCTACACCATGGTGGGTGCTGTGAAGAGCAGGTACCGGGGATCAGGGTGACACACAGAAGTGGGAAGCCAACTGCCCCAGAAACACTGAATAATAAAAATAGCCAGGATGTTATATTTTTTCATCAGTCTTGGCTTGCTGTTGTTGTTTATGCCATTTATCTGAGAGCTGATTCCAGTTTTTCTCGAACAGGAGGGAAATACTCATAGCAACAGCGTGGTTTTTGCCTCTGTTTGCCTTTGCCAGTCTATGGGCCTTTGCATCTGATTTGTTTTTCTTTTCTTGTGACTTCTATTTTTCTGGCTGTCTCTGCCCAGAGTGTAGGTATAATTACAACAAGTCTAAAGACTCAGTGAAGGGTCCCCTGAGTGGCTCAGTTGGTTAAGTGTCTGCCTTTTGACTCAGGTCATGATCTCAGGGTCCTGGTATCAAGCCCCATATTGAGCTTTCTGCTCAGTGGGGAGTCTATTTCTCCCTCTCCCTCTGCATCTCCCGCCCCCCACCCCCACCCCAGCTCATGATCTCTCTCAAATAAGTAAGTAAATAAATAAATAAATACCTGAATGACCATTATGAGATTTTTATTTGGAAGCTGGGAGGAAAGCCACTTCTTCTGGGACCCCAGGTCAACCTGCAGTCACTCGGAGGCACCAATAGTCTGAGCGGTCCTGGCGTTGAACTTGCCCTGCTTGTCCAGCCAGACAAGCTCAGGAAAAAAAAGGGCTATGTTCAGGGAGCATTCTGCCCACAGAGCCCAGTGATGGGGTCCCAACCATGAACTTGGTGCTAGTGATTCCTGAGAGCTACCCTGACTTACATTAGGGCCACAGGGCCTTGTCTCCATTTGGACAGTGCATGGGGCAAGAGGTGTCTCTAGAAATGTACTGATCAATTACCTGATAGCAGGCTTAGGAACAGGGCTCCTTGGACATCAAAGTTGGTATTACCGGTGCCTGCAAGCAAGCGCTTAGCCTGGCCTCTTTCTCCCCCTGGCGGTGCCTACAGATCTTGTTCAGCCTGCAGGCTCAGCCTCTGCAGGGGGGGGGGGGGAGGTGGAAGAGGGGGAACCCTCACTCTTCTCTCTGCCATTCACCTACTCCTTAGTCCTTCCTCCACGATCCAGACAAATCAGCTTGGTTCATCAGACAGAACGGAGTTTGGGCGTTTGGGGACTGGCACGGGTGTGAGTCATTGGCTGTGTGACCTCTTGAGACAAGTCCTGTAAACGACGGGTGCGTCATCGGTAAAAAGAACTTACCACCCACCTCGAAGGGCTGCTGTTTGGTATAAATGGTCTAATATGTGGAAAGTGCTTTGTAGCGAGACTACTATACAGTAAGTCGGAGCAGTTATTGTTATCCTTATTAACTAGCCGTGCTGTGGTCAGGGGAAGCCTAAATGTGGGAGGAAATTGGGTCCCGAGAAGCAAAGCGGAGTCAGAGCGGCAGCCGCTCTCTCAGATCTAGGTGGTCGTCAATGGGGAACAGCGCCGTCTGGAGCCCAAGAACCTAGCCCCGCCTCCCTAATTCAGGGTGGTCGGCTCCAGTCCGCGTCGTTAGCACCTCCAGCACCAGCTCCTCGCCCTCGCTCTCACTCCAGCAGCCCCAGCCAGAGGTGTTGTCACACCAGGTGCTTCACACCCAGCGGTGGCGGAAGCTGCTGGTTTCGCTCTGAGGTCACCAGCTCCATCACCCTCCGGGCAGGCTGGCTGCTACGAACCGAGGGCGAGGAGACCTTCCCCCCGTCACAATGGGGAAGTTCTAGCTGATGTCTCATCTAGAGCACGGCTGAAATAGGGTGTGCTTCCCTCCGTCCCCTTCCCATGACTGCAGACCCTACTGCCGCAAAGGAGCCGAGGCGGACGGAAGCCGAACAACGCGGCTTACTGAGCGGCGAGCTGATGGGGGCGGTGCCAGGGGCGGCCCAGAGCTGGAGGAAGTTTTGCCGGGACCCACCCTGCCCGCCCAGAGCCAATGGCGGGGGAGAGCCCGCAGGAGCGAGCACCGCCCACCGCGCGTCCTAGGGGGAGGGGCCCGCCTGGGGGCGGGGCCACGGCCGAGGGCGGGGCAGGGAGGCAGCATGCTAAACCGGGTGCGCTCGGCGGTGGCGCACCTGGTGAGCTCCGGGGGCGCCCCGCCTCCGCGCCCCAAGTCCCCAGACCTGCCCA